CTCATGTTTATGTATATAAGATCTATTGCACAGGTCGCTTGGGTAAAGCATTTTTATAGTGCCATATAAAATCTACTTTCTCAGATACATTGTAGAAAAATTCATTTAAAGAGATGAATGTTGTCCAAGAAAAATTGTATGGTAATAATGAATTAAGCGTTGTCTCCTATAATTAACAAGGAAATGCCACAAACAAGGAAATGTCACAAACCTTAAAATTTTAAAAAAGATTGGGTACTGTCACAAACATACTTTATATTTTTCTGGGAATATTTTAAACGTTTTTGGGAATTAAAATATTGTTTCTCTGGAAAAGTTTTACTTCATCTCAAATCCGTCGTAAGAGCAAGGTTATGTTCACTTCTTAGAAGAGTTAACCAGAATAATTATTTGATATTTTTCATGACTCGATATGGTGCTTTAGGATTGGTTGAGCAACTCATCTGTTGTTGGTGTGGCGGATGTGAGGTTTTTTTTCTTCGTCTTGTTTCGAAGGGCTACAAAAGGAATTGGGTTTGTTTGGTTAATTGAGCATGTTGTCAATAACAGAAAAGTGAGCTTTAAGATTGACAAGTTTTGTTAAAACTTATATGAGCCTCCGCTTCTTTTATTTACCCATACGGTAAGGAGACCCACCCGTTTCCCAGATTGAATGTTGCGAATATTGTCATCGAAGAACAACTGAAAACAACCGAGATATTTAGGATTTGGTAAGCTTAAGTGATTAGGTAGAAGAAGAATAAAAAGCAGTAAAAGGTTTAATGTGAATCTTATTGTCTTGTGAGGATTGATGTTGGCCATCTTGAAAACCTGTTCAAATGATCTTTCAGATGGTTTGCAAATAACCGGAGTCTTGGGGAGTTCGACGCTCGGGTCAGAATTTGCAATTTAACTGCTAATGTCGAAGATTTCTTTGGTTTCAGTACCAACATGAGATTCAGTTTTGGTGTGGGGGTTCAGAGTCTCAAAAGATCATAAAAAGAATTATGAATGATCTTTCAATAAATAATCGTATTAATGACACTATCCGAAGAAAAGAAGTTGAATGAAGATGTAAAAGATTACAACGAAGAACAACCTTTTTTTTATTAGAGATTATTGATTGAGCATAGATATGTGGTTGTGGATAAGAGAAATTAGATTTATAGTTGGTTTTTAAAGCTACGGATAAGCGAAATTAATAAGGGTTTGTTGACTTGGGCCACAAACAAATATCTTTCTGCGGTTCTGTCTCTAATAGATTTGTTGCATATTAAAAAAATAAAAAACCTAATAAATTATAATTACGTTACTTTTTTTAATAATCATATAATGCTTAGGGGATTTTTATGGGTTTAGTATGGCCCAAAAATGGTTATCACGGTAGTATTCTCTACACTCTTCTACTCGAGGTAGAGATAAGATAATCATTACACTTCTGATGGGTACATCTCCACCACCTTCTTTTTGGCTCAATCATTTTTATTTCTTTTATCTTATTTCGCTTCTAATATAGAAATATTCTCATGGATTTTGATGTGCGTTAGTTACTTAACATAGGATTTTTGATTAAGCATGAGTTTAATAGAATATTGATTTGAAGAGAAACTTTTTTCATGAGTTTCTATTAGATTCAAAATTGTGTTCTATGGTACAATGATACCCTTGGGGTTCATCATTAGGAGAATAGAAAAAATAATAAACCCCACTTCAGCTGAGAATTTTCACATTTTTTTRTTMWTTTTTATTATTTGTTTGGCAGGTCGTCATAGAAGCTCTTAGGAACTGAGTTCGTGATTTTCGTAGGTTAGGTTCTTAATTGAGTAAGGGCTAAACCATATTCATGTTGATTTTCAGTACAAAGCCTGCAAGCAAAGATGCTCTTTGGAGGTAATTAGTGATCATCTTATTATTGCTTATGAATGATGTATTATCGATTACAGATGGAATGACAAACGATTCTTCCCTCTAGATCGAACATTCGGTAGAAATGGTTGTGAAATCCAAACATAACAGGTTTCTTTATGATTATAGGGAATAAAATTTGRAGCCTAGGCTTGAAACTTATGCAACATGCAAGGAAGAATTTTTGATAGACTATTTAAGAGACACGTTTCAATGAATAATTCAACTACTTTTTTTTTAGGTTTTTACACTTTAAGTTAGTCTTCTTCCTCTCTTCCAACTCCACATATCACTCTCTGTTTCATATAAATAATTCAAGATTTATGCTTAGATTTCTCATCTCAAGAAAAAGATGATCATGTTTCTAATGTTAATCTTATAGAATATTATTTCTAATGATGAAAATAAGAGATTATCCAATTATGTAGAGAGCTAAGAATGTAAATTTCTGTTTTTCTACTTTTATGTTATTAGATTCATATAAAGATTTAGTCATTTTCCTTGCAATTTGTATTTTTAGTTTTGCAGATAGTATAACTTTTGCTCTAAGTAATGAATTTATGCTCTTCTCTTTAGTTTTTTCTTATTCGGGTTTTCTTGGTATCAATTGGGTTTTCTCTTCTTTTATTTTGTTGACTATGATCATTCTTGTGTTTTGTATTAAAATGTGGACTGTTTTGAAATTGTTTTTTAGGATGTGATGGGCTAATGCAGAAATTTTGACACTCATTTGTCAACTCATTCTTACAACTTCCAAGTCACCGACACAGCAAACATAATTAACCACCAGTATAATGGGCATATCTCTCTCTGCCGCTAGCTAGACACAGTTGCTTTTGTTCTATTGTATCTGTTGAGAGCCGCATGTGTTTTATGTTATAACTTTTTTGGAGTTGTTTGGGTAGAAATTTGGGTTTGAAGAAGAATAACATTGCGAGAAACAAAATGACAAAATTTTCTTCGCTATTGTTTACAGAAAAGTGTGAAATTTTTATGAAGTCTTTTATTCTTCGTTTACTGTTTTAAAAGGTCAAAGTTTGTGACTTTTGTGGATTTGGATTTTTATTTTATAGTCTTGGTATTAATCAATTAATCCAAAGTTAAGACTCTTGAAAATTTCTCTTTAAGAAAACATAAAAATCAATTGTATSGTTGGTACAACGTAATAATACATAACTGTTAGGTTTCATTTTTCTTGGTAAGTAGTTGTCTTTTAATATTGTTAAATAATGTTTGTGCAATAAACTGTAATGTAGTTGAAATAACATTTGTAAAGTTTGAATGTTTATGGGTGATCGGTCTAAAGTCCATACGAAATATAGATGAAAACTCCGATAACAAATTATCTTTTTTATGAATCACATGAAAAAGTTAGAGCAATTCTTATTAAGTTTTTTTGCAACAAATCTCTCATAAGACCGAACAAATTT